TCCAAATGCCCTGCTGTAGTTTGTATATATATTTAATATCTTACACAAATGCATACATTTATTGAACTGCAGGAAAAAGGCTGATTTTAAAGTTTAAGTTGACATCACGGGAGCCACCTGTTGTATGAGTTTGAACCCTGTTGTGTTAACTCAGCAGAAAGGATGTGTGCACAATAATAATTGTGCTCATTTATGTTTCATTAGACTATTACAGGCTTATGATGAATTCCCACCATTCTTTACAATATACATTTGTACTTCCACTGATACTCCAATTTGTGTGTACAACTACTGCCATCATCATCAGCCATGTTCAATCCACTGCTAGATGGATCGCCACTGGAAAATAGGATCGTAAATATCGATAGCCCCTATATGACCAACTGACATGAGTTCTTCTGTCGTGGTTACCAGACGAGGAAACTGGACCCCACAGGGCCACCAAGAGTAGGGAAAACACCATGATAAGTGTCCACAGGCACAACTGTTATTAGGGACGTAGGGATATAATTAATGGACTGTGTCATGGGTCCCAAAAGAGGTACTGTTGCGGGTCTGAGCAGCAACTTTGTTGTGTAATGGTATATGTGCGTATATTTTATGCGCTGCACCATATAGAAACGATGTCACATTAATCTGCTGCGCACAATCTATAAGTTATGTCTTGGTTTGTCAAAACATAAATTAAATTCACATGCTGGAAAATAGTTATTTAATCCCTACTTTTTTTGGTGAAAGAGTGTCAATCTTTCCTTTACCAAGAGTGGAGCGATTCACTCAGGATTCGTGTTTAGGCTATTCGTTTCAAGAAATGAATATTACTTTTTGTCCTGAGACTGGATTTGGTTGTCTCTAAGGTAAAGGGTATCTGTCACAAGAATATGGAATTTCCATCCCTACCTCAGGATCAACAATAGTTTAGGTTATAAGGGGTGTAATGACGTATTGATTCGTGGAATAAAATGTATTCTCATTCTCATGATATATGCATCAAATTGCATTGGTGAGAAATTATTCGATTGTTTTGGTAAAAGTTCAGCTCTGCAATTCCTTGCTTACACTACTGCCGGTGGAAAGGTCTAGAGAGCCCCTCTAGACGGCCAGATATCTTGGAAGAGGTGGGTATACCTGTACTGTACCCACCAATCGACAAACTGTGGGACACCCATTTATCCCGCAGAGTGGACAGAAGCGGATTTATTTGTACGCTTCAAATTGGTTCACATGACTCCTGCAGCCACTAGAGGTGGTACAATGCACCGTTGTTAATCAAAGGTATAGATTAACACCGAATTGTGACCCTGAATTGAGACGATTTATTAGTTCGCGAAGGGGGATAAATCGTCTGCAGGCTTGCTTGCAAGACATCACCAAACTCCTGAGAGAGAATGGCTACACATTAACTCAGCTGTTTGTATTAATACACACGTGGGACCACGTTCAAATGCTAGAATATCCACATACAGTACACAACTTGGAGTTTTGCACAGTTAGTCGATATTTTTGAAATACTTACTTTTGATCATTATCCTAAGTTTAAAACGCAATAATGAATAAGATATGGTAAATCTGGCACTGTATTTGCAGTAATGTTGTATTCTCTGTTTTACATTTGACTTTGAGTTACAATGCTGGATATATATGGCATTTGCTTTTTTTTTACATCATCAGAAAACGCAACACTTTTAAAGCAGTGAGCATGTTTACACATTGCATCAGATCTATGTTCTCGGATTTAAGCTAAATCAACCTAAATGAGATCCAGACACTGGTGTGCTTTGGTAGAAATGAAACCTAGGCCAAGGAATGATAGAGTTACACACAAACTACTGGACCTACCACTTGTAAAATAAATTCAAAACGAATTCCCTCTATGCCCAAATGATCACTGGACAGTACTCATTTCTGTAGAAGACTGAAAAAAGATAATCCATTCCACATTTTTATGGTGGAGACCACTCTATCTATATGACTACCAATCTTAACGGCATTTAATATTTACTCTTGAGGGATGATGGTCTGGGTCACTCCCTAACTGGGATATTATATAATATACCGTATGTATAAACAAGCCCATACCCACATACATACAACCATACTTATCGTAGGCTAAGTTTACCTTGGGAACACCAACCATTGGTTCAAATATTACACACCATTCATGTCCACGGTGCACCAGGAATCAAACGTACACAGCAAGAAACACATTACACCGGGGATGAAAACACCCAAGCCTTGAAAATCACAAACGCGGTCTCTTTATCTCATGCCTATTATCCAATTTACAAGAATTGGAGGAGATGGCTTGACATGGAAAGATGATTGCCCAACAGCTAGCTCACCATCGCTGCACTATGTTATTCACCTACTATGTTTGCCATGAAAAATTGTGATACTGCATCGGGTTTGTTGCTCAGGTACATATAAACTGAGTGTCACAGTAATATGCCATGTCTTCTATTCTTGAATGTAAACCAAGAGATTTACTTTGCTGGGGACAATAACTCAAGGTTTTTTTTTTCAGTGATGCTAAGTGGACCAGAGCAATGATAAGTGGATTAAATGGCTATCAGTATACAATTTCACGTTGATATAGAGACATTCTTTTTTTTACTGGCTGAGATGGCCATTTCTGACATCAGCAAAGGCTTATTCTCACTGGGGCTTTTGGCTTTCACCTTTACCAATTCACGTTTGTCAATCAGGTACAGTGTGTGCCAAATCCTTCCCATTCGCTACAAACATTGCAATACAATGTTATAAACATCATACAAATGCATGTTACCTCTAACTGTATCATGGACAATTGTAAAATACATTCTGAGCGTGAGATTATGAGCATACTCAGTCAATAATCACATTTTCGTCCTGCTCAAACGAGCAACTGCATGGCTCTCATGTCCATTGGTGGTGCTGAGCCAGTGGGATGCATTCCATATGCCTATGACGGGGCCAGCCCCTCTGTAGGAATAACACTAATGGCTGTGCACAAAATGGTACTATGCAGATATGTCAGTGACCCTGAAGGAATGATAGTCTAACAAACATATTCTACACAAATATACAGAACAACAAAAATTGCAATATATGGTTATAATAATATTGTCATACGTGTAAACATATTCACTGGGAACAATATAATTTGAAGTACTAGATACGTGGTTCTAGAGTGTTTCTGATTATATTGCTGCCGATTCAAATTATAGTTATTTTGTCAACTAATTTTGTAAATGGATAGGGCCTAAGATGCCTAAGGTTCCACAGTGATTGGCGAACACACATGTAGAAAAGACCACACTGCTGGTTCCAAGTACTTATACACAGCCTAATTTACATCATGTGAATTAAGCTACAAGGGACTGTCATTCTCTATTTCCAAAAGATATAGATACTGATGGCTGTTGAAGTGTCCGAAAAGATTTATGAAATAAATGGAAGTGTTTTACCAATACCCCATATGTCCTGACCCTACGAGACATGGGTTTAGAATGGTCAGGCATCCTAAAAGTCATTTAATTAGGGCTGTGACTGATGAAAGCAATCAATCCGGTGGCTTGTTAGTAACTGTTGTTCTTTGGAGCTTAAAATCAGGCGAACAAACACTTTTTTAAGTCCACATCCGAAATAGCAAAAGCCCGCACAGTTATATATATAAATTATCATATACCAAATGAATTGTATTTCAACTAAGCAACGTTGCACTTTAAGTGACACAGCGCTCAGTTCATGACGATCAGCTTCACCTCAAAAACAAATAGAGTGTTAAATGCATCTTCACGGTCGTAGAGAATGGTTACATTTTACAATTATATTACTCTTACAATAACCGCAGTGATCATGCATATTTAATCACTGTGTGTTTATGAAGAAACACACTTCCAGGCCAGTGAGTGCACTATTGTTTAGTCTAACACACACACACAACTCATTGTGGATTTCTAATTGCTCCATGTACATGGTTGTAGAAGCTCTTAACTTCATTCTAATTACGACCACATGCGATGAACAAGCACAGATACGAGGGGGGGAAAGTAACATTTTACATAGCAGAACGAATGCAATTCATGGATGAAAGGGAGACGTGTGGCTCCAACGTGAACCAACACTGCGGTGTCCATTTAATCGCACGAAAATGACTCGTTCCCTCTTGCAACTTCGTTTCCTCCCTCAAGGGAATGCAATGCACCTCTTACGTGGTGTTGTTGTTGTCTGATGTCCGACTAATGTGTTATTCCGCGCTCGAGTTTAATGAATGGTTGCCACTGGAGCAGTTTGTCACATAGCATGTGTGTACGCATAATGAAGTGCTATTGAGCAAACGTTATATATGCATCAGTCCGACAATTAATAATATATGAAAGGAAAGGAACACCAAATGTAACAACAATTAAATACCGTGCGTCCAAATGCAGGCGATGAATACGTTAAGAAATTGTTTCGCTCAAATGTAAGCACGGTACATGACCCATCTCGTTGTTAGACAACCATGCACCTACTGCAATATGGTGCGATGGCGTTACATTACATCTCGTGTCAATGTCCCTGCATGCGACACCACTATGCAACATGTCCTTTGTGTCGTTTTTAGTCACCCACTTGCCACCCCTTATTGATCTTTTTATTCCCCCCCTCCAATTCACACTTCCGTTCAGCAGCAGAAGATCAACAACAACAAACCGTATAGCTCCGCTCTAAATTAACAACGCCAGCGTAAGGATACGGCAACACAAAAACAGAGAGGCACAAGCAACGGGGCTGTGTCTCGGAACGGCACACTCGTCCCTGTAAACGCGCGCGCAAAACGACATTTCACAATGTAGGGCACACATACAACAAATATACACACACAAACCACACGTGCCGCTCGCATGAGACTTAGAGAAAGGAAGAGAAAAAACACACACAAACCGGGCGGGCACATAATGAACCCACGGTTTTGGTACTTTGCTCGAGCCGCGTATTTAAAGAAAAAGAGGCAAGATTTTTTGTTGGATTCTCACCTACAGCCATCCATCCAGAATGCCACGGAAGCACTGTCATTCACTCCCAGTGCGCACCATGGTCGGAATGTTGTCAGTATATTACATAAATAAATAATCAATCCCGAGCTAGATAAATAAATAAACAAATAAATGAACAAAGCTCAACCTGCTATACACTAACAATACATCTGCCTCCCATCCCCCTAAAATATATATTTATATCCGTTGACACCAAGCGGGGTTTTTTTTAGGAGTAAATGCACCGGCTGACGACGCCGCCGCTAGTTTTTTTTTCTGAATGTTTTTTGCTCCTACCCCCGTCCCCTTATTTTTTTTCCTGGGTAGCTTCGGGGCTTTTTTTTACACCAACATGGAGATCAGCGCTGGTTGGAGTCTCCCGTGAATTCTCACGCCCGTCGCCACGGTTACATACCCCCTCCCTCCCATCCCTCCAGCTAACGCCATGGCAACGGCAGCTCATTCTGCCCACTCTCTCTCTCTCTCCTCCTTTTTCCTCCCTCCGCCCCATTCCTCCAGCTCGGTACCTCCCAACCGCCCCCCTTCACACCCTCTTTCATCCTGTTATACGTTACCATGGACACCGTTGCTAAGGAACCAATGCCCCGCCTCCTACCTTCCTTGCTATTTTTTCCCCTCCCGTCCAGCCCTTTCCCTATTATGTTTTTTTTGTAAGCCCTCCGTGTGTGTGTGTGCTTGGCAGTGATGGTTGTGCTAGCGGGAATTCTGATGGCTCACGCTGGCACGAATGAGAGTGGTGCATGCGTCTCAGCGGGCGCGCGCGAGTGTGAACGTGCGCGTCCTCATGGCCCTGTGTGGCACGTTGTGATCCTCAAAGAGCTGTTTGTGGCAGCAGTAAACTGGTTTGAACTGGAACCAAACGGGGCGTCGTGAATGAATGGAATCGGAGAGAAAGCTATCAATCACCCACCTTATTAGTTAGCCTTTTGTCCATATTCACATTGACATTTGTTTTCACTTATTACCGTTCAATGTCCCTCGAATCTAATTCAATGATTTGCATAGAAATCTAATTAATCACAATTTTGATTGAGCAGCCCTGTGTCTTGTAAAGCCACACGAGGACAAACGCGAAATGTATATGTACATTTGAAAAAGAAAACACCATTTGCAGCGTTAATACGGTGCAGTTTTGTCATCCGATTCCAATAGCGTCGTTGTCCCCTGTTAACCTCAGCCCCAGTCAAGAAATGCATTCCGATGCACGTGAGTACGTTTGTGCTGACGTCAAACAGAGCAGGAGCAGCCAGATCCCCAAAGCAGCAATTTAGATGCAGAATTTCCACAGAGTTGGACCGTGGATGCTAAGTTCACCCGACCTCGGAACTTGCGCATTTAAGTGAACAGATTGTGTATTGTTATATAATATATAAATTTACAAAGGCAGACGTGTCCATTTAAGCCCGATAAGCTGTAGGGGCAAGTACCAGCGAGGACAGCCTCATGCTCGGCCACCGTTATCTTTCGAATGCCGATTCTGCCTCGTGGAGACACACGCCAAGGCCGTATTCCGTCTGATGTTGTGCACCACGCGCCCAGGGATTGAAAACGAGATGGTAGATGCACCACGTAACCGCACGTGCGCATGTCGTCTAAACTCCCAACAATTTACGCCCCACTCACCGATTGGACCACAAGGTCTTGCTTTTGCGAAAATGAACAGCCACATTCTTAACATTATGAGGCATAACGCATACAATATGCGTTTGTTTCAAGTAAATGTATTATTTTTCTACCATTTAAATGTATCCCATAAAACATACACCATGCCCATTTGACCTTGCACTTGCAGTCATGGGTGGGCAGTTCGGTATATATGCATTCATTTGCGCTTACATACACATTTATTTTTGCTGAGCCTTTGTTCATATTTAAAGCTTACATTGCATATTCACTCAAGTTTATAGCCTATTTTTTGTGTATGTCAAAGTGGAAGGGCCCTACTCATGTAGCAACTTTTGCGTCATTCCACCACTTTTGGAGGAACGATGGTAATTTTTCACATACAATCGGACACATTTCACGAATATTCAATCATCGTGTGGTCGATTGCACATCAAACCAAAGCCACTCTGCTGCTGCACATGGCTAAACGTGGTCAAAATATAGCACACAGCCATTGTTGTGGCATTGCGTCAGTCACACTTTGCGGGTGACTGTCACCTCCATTCGAAAAAAGGTGTGAAAAGAAACTCTGCATAAATAGGACTCAAAGTGTCCCCGTGTTTTTACCACTGCACAAATGAGCCTCGCCAGGGCCGTGCTAAGCCAGCCCGGTTGCGATTCAGGAGGCGTCGTGTTTATTTTCCACTGCAGAGGCCACTGACGTGAGAGGCAACGAACGAGCCGAGTCGCCTTATAGATTACGCGGCGTCCCCATGCAGCGCTGATTTCACATGCAACGAATGTGTCATAAGCAACCCCCCCACCACTGGCCCTGCTTGGCCCCAAGCCAGATTCAAATCTCATGTAAAGCGAGTGTATCACAGTTTGGTACGGGACCGCCCATATTGTGTGAACCACGCGCTGGCGCCGCTCTGGTGCACTGATGGGGAAAAAAAAATAATACACGTTCAAATGTGGCAATGGGGTACCAATTATGTAATATTCTGTAACGATGAGACAGTGGTGGAATTCCACATGTCTAAAGCTGAAACAATTCTCTTCGTAGGAGGATAACTGTTGACTTCTCAAAAAGTTATTTTAGTGCAAATTCAATTAGGTTTGAACATGCAACCTTCCAATTCGTCAGGGAAGTGATGTGTAAAATTATATCCGTGGTTATATATCGTAATTCATAAAGTTATTCTCATTTGGTGCCTATAATGTCTAAAATATCAGCAAAGGAGCAATACATGCCGTTTAATGTTGGCACTGCATTGCATCAAACATGTGTAGATAAATATATGCGTATTAATCTATATATTTCGTAAGTATGCATATATTAAATGTAAATACTGCTGCATAGGTTTTCGTAATTGTACTGCACCACTCTCAGACACCCGTTTGGGTTGTAGCATATGTTGTTCAGAATCATGTCCGACGCTTCGCTCCACGATGCTTGGAGGTTCTTCAAGAATGCTCAACGTGATGCGAAACGTCAGACATCATGCCGAACGGCTCCGTGGGGTGTGCAACGTGAAGCCTAAACGTAGATATTAAATGTCAACATGCTCGAAAAGAGTATTCACAAAAAGGTATGCGCTGCACCTGATCAGCTGTGAAAGCAAACGAAATGGGGCTGGTGTCTTGCCCTTTAGTGGGCGTTCGCAATACACAGAAGCTTCGACATTTTCGTGGCATCATCCGTATTCCATACTTATGCATGTATGTTGAACCTCTTTCGCACCGTACGTATCCAATCGTGCTAATCGGAGGTGCGGGGGAAGGACGGCAAACTAAACACAAAGTGCAGTTCTAAAGAAATTCGCTTTCAACCTGACGATTTAAAAGTGCATAGCTCCAGTGGCATCATCATATCGGAAGGAAGAGTTTTGAAGACGGCCGCAGAAGCTGCTGTGTGCTGTTGGATTGCGGACATGATGTCTGGCAAACGCATAAATTACATCATACTGCTCCTACAGGGTGAATTATTGAGACAATGTTCCACTGACACGTCTGGTCAACATAAATTAAAATTACTTTCAATTAAAATGCTGCTCAAAATGTGACCGAGTTGTGTGATTTTCTGAAGATTTTTCATTATTAATAAATGTTCACACGTATTACATACATATTTATATTAAAATTGCTATGATAACCGTTGCGGTTTCAAATAACATACGGCCATGCATTAAATACTAAAATAAGAATCTAGCACTATTGTGGTTCTATCAACAGAAATGTTAATAAGAACACGTCAGTTTTTTTTCCGCTTTTAAACTTATTATACGTTATCATAGTGCTGTTCTTGCGATGTGGATTTGTGCTAGGGGGGAATTTTTTTTCGAATATTGCATTTTCAGATTTTAAGGCTTGATTTTAATAATTCATAATTTTGCATTCTATTTCGGATTCTTGTATATTCAGATAAACAAATACTTTAATAACTTTAATCGGTCATGCACTCCTTGCATATGGACAGTGTTGATAGAAATTTACATACACACTATATATTTAATGACCACTACTTCATGTTAATACAATTGTGAAGGTTATACCGTAAAATAATTATATAAATGGCTTCGATTTCCAACTCGAGCAGCTTTCGGTGTGGAGTTTGCATGTCCTGCCTCTTTTCTACATGGATTTCCTCTGGGTTCAAAATGCAAAAAACAGAAAATCTAACTTGTGAGCCCAAAAAAAAATGTCAAGATACTAAAAATTCCTGAAAATTATTATCGGGATTACACGCAGCAGCTGCTGCAGCAGCATCGGCCACCTACTGCGAAAACTTGGCAGGTACCTCTTGTATTGATGTTCGGTGAGGCTTTCGTGAGTAATCAACCGCAATGATGATCATTCAAATGAGAGAAAAATCTGTTAACTAACATCCTTTATTGGCCATCGCGTGCTGAGTGCCAGAGCCCTATTTGTTTTTGTCCACAGATGAATATAAAAGCATAATACATGTACCTATATAGTTGCAGACAATGAGTTTCCAGTTCTCCCTTCCAAAAGAAAGAACATTGACTCTCGGTTGGAGCACACCTATTTAAAATAAAGGGCATTGAACTTAAGTTAATTGACTGGCTTTCAAAATGTGCAAATTACTGATAGCATTTGATTATTGAAAGAGTGATGAAAAGCTGATAGCGTGGCAGTTAAAGCGCTTTGCAATGGAGGCGATGCGTTAGTGACAATAACCGTGGTATATTTGATGCAGTGCATGTGCACATTATCATGAAGCCATAGGTGTGCAATTGAAATATACGACGGATGAATGATATACCACAATTGGTGAACGACGGCTCATGGGGGGAGGGGGAGGGAAGCCGAGGACGCGACAGGCGTGGGTGTCAGCAAAGTTGCCAAACAGATTTCATTTGCAAGACGCTCAAAGGCTAAGGAAGCAGAGGCCAGGCCAAATAGAGCAAGTCACGCGAGCATTTGAGAGTTCGCCTCAAGTTGCAGAAGCACAGCGGGCGCACCACCTGGTGTTATCGCACGTCGGTGCTGACGATCGACGACGTCGACAACGATAGTGATTGCAAAGACGATGCAGAATAACAACAACGCATTTATTTCGGATGCACTTTTTTGCCATCAGCACGCCGCGGTACACGCGAATCTGCGGAGGTATGAAATGCCGTCGTTGAGTAAAGGGCCTCGCCGTCGGGGCACGTTTGCGTGCGCGTGCGCGTAATTGCGTAAGCGTGTGCGTGCTTGCCCATGCGCATTTGCACGCGCGTAATAAGACGTTCGCGAGGGGCCTCTCCGCGGTGC